TAGTAACCAGCAGTGTTATCCATCTTCAGTCACTGATTGTGGTTATCGCGTAGACCCCATCTAGCTAGTTTAGATCTACTAACATGGCTCAGACCTATGGTTATTTACTTTTTAAAGTGATCCCTGGTTATGGTTTGGCAGCCCCTATTTCCCGTTTTGAATTATATGGTCGACAGTACGTTGTGATAGACGGGTTTCGAGTACAAGCAACACATTTCCCAGACAGTCGATGAAGATTCTCATTCTCAACAACAGAGTACTAGTTAGTTGACATGGATTTGAGTTACATGTTTTCATGAAGTCTAACAACAAATATTTCCTGGCTAGGTGTATACTGCTTTTTGGAATTCATAGTATTTACCTGTTATTGCAAAACATATAAACTGTGCTATTCGAGATATTGTGTATCAGTCAATATGCACTAATATGAAGTGCAGAAACATCATATCTTTCAACCTTTCTAAATCTAGAGTATACATCAGACAATAGGAAAAACTGAAGTTCACCGAAACAGTCTTTTTTAGATAAACCTTGGTTTGGTCCACAGAAAATATTAGCCTTAAAATTCCAAATAAAGAAATACATATTTAAATACATAACTTAGCAGTTTAATTACTTGAGTTGGTACTATTAATTTACGGGGTGTAGGACGTATTTTGAGCTAGCAGTATTGACGTTATGCATAAGCTACTAGGCAAATCGGTTGATGAGTTTATGAATCCTTACTGATCAAAGTAGCCAATACATGTATTACGTATGTTTAGTCACCTCTTACTCCGACGGGCATTGCTTTCTAGTGTAGGAGTAAGTTGTAGGAAAGCTGGAGACGACATAGCATCAGTCCATGAAGTCCCTAACTGTTTATCTGAATCATGTAAATAAATGAAAAGTAACTGGATGGGGCCAGCGTGATCAGTAGTTGAGGACTTTGATCAATATAATGTAGAATCGTTAATAATGGCCCTGATGCATACACTCATTATCTTTTTTCAGATTTGAATCCAATTATTGCTTCATATATCTCTTTACACTTCCCTTGTTTCAATCCTCAGTCTTTTTCACTATCATTACTACCACATTGTTCCTGTCTCACTTGGTATTCTTGTCAGTTTCATCTCATCGCCCTATTGCAGTATGACACTTAAGGTCAGTTTAAACAAATGCCAGACCAACGAGTCCCCATCGGCCACCTAAACGACTCTCTTCTGTGCCTAGACGCCCGACCTGAGCATTCAAGTCTCCGGCTAGTACCACAATATCTGTCGAACGCACTTTCTGGAGAAGAACAGATAACTGGTGGTAAAACTCATCCTTGATTGCATCCGGGCTGCAATCTGTCGGGATATAGGCGGAGATGACGAAAAGACATCGTTTCGCACGCCGATTTCTCACTTTGATGGAACTTTCCAATCTAACAGCACATAACCGACTGTTAATGGGGATCCAATCGATTAGTGCTGCCTCAACTCTAGCGCTTAGTGCGACACCAACGCCAGCAAGACCAGACGAAGATGCCACAGGGTCCTCGGATAAGCGCACGTAAAACAAGCTTTTCGAAGCGACAGATGGAGATCGAATTTGTAGTACTTCGCCAGAGTCTTGAATACGGGTCTCGGATAGACAACAAACATCAATATTAAGACTTTCCAAAGACACAGCCAGCCCTATCTGTTGTCCGACCTGCATAAGTGTGCGAACGTTGAAGGCAGCCAGTTTGAATGGTGCACGTGGTTTCAGAAAAACTGCTTCAGTTCTCGTATTCGGTGGTAACATACAATTTTCAACCGGACAGTGACTCGAGAACGTTTAGATAGAGTCGAATTTCTACCAAAGACGAGCCGCTGTATAAGTATAAAAGAGGGTGAATAATGTGGAAAATAATAATCATCATAATAATAATGACAATAATAGTAATAATAATAATAATAGTATTAATAATGACAATAATTTGAATCAATTGTTTTTCGAAGCGAGAAAAGTAATTTCCATAGACATAAAGAGTTCATCAATTTGAAACACCGACTTCGGTGGCTTGGACATGCTCTACGAATGTCGTCCCAGAGAATTCCACGTCGTGCATTATTTGCCGACTCTAGGACTGGTTGGAAGAAGCGGAGAGGTGGTCAGTGCATGACATGGTGTCGTGGTATGAAAGAAAGCTGCAAAGGACTGGCTTCTGTTGGTCCTTCACGACTCCCTGGTTGGGGTCCGAGAGATGATGCTACACAGTGGCTAGGGACGTTATCAGATATGGCTCAGAATAGAAGCCAGTAGCGATCCTGCTGTAACCTTCTTTTACTTTCTTCATAAAAAGTGGTTGCGTCTCCCTTACCTGAAAGATTTCTTCTGATTGTACCTTTCCGTTCCCTCGTTACTAGCACATTACCTTACACCAATCTCTTCGTTATCGTTCTCTTTTTTTTCTTTTTGCGCTGCTTAGTTTTTTTTCTTTCTATTTCTCTTCGAATTCTCATTGTTTTGTGTGGCGCATATATATTGGCGCTCTCTTGTACCAATATTCATGTGTTCAAATAAATAAATAAAGATTCTATGTTGATGATAACTCATTGGCTACAAATTGTGTTTCACCTAGACCGATTTAGAGTTTACTTTATCGCTAATCCTCATACAAGTGTTACAAAGTTGGATACATGAAAAATTACTTAATTATCAAGGTATATTGACATTATTGCAAGTTATCATCTAGTAGTTTGTATACAACTATAAAGCAACTAGCAAATGGTCAAACCTCTGGTTTTTTTCGAACAGAAAACAACGATATAGAAAATGAACGTCCAATTCTGCTTAGATTCAAAAAGACAATTTCAAAACAGTTAAACTTCTGAAATTAGGAAGTTAAAAATATTAATTCTATTGCGTTGGCCCTGTTACTTTGGAATTTTTATATTCTTACTTATTCCATTTAGACTTGTATATCAGCAATCCCAGTAACCCTTAGTGCTATTAAACCACATACTGTTTCTTCAACAGTTCTCGAAGAAATAACATGTTTAGCGATCCGAAAACATCCTAGTTTACCGATTCAAACAGCTGATCTCATCAACCCAGATTCCTGGTATGAAGGCAAGTTATGGGTTGTTTATTTTAATTATATTGTAATATTAAAACCTTTTAAAATAAAGACGTAGTAACAACTGCAAATATTCTAATAGCAAAATATATTTCACATTTATGTTGTGCATCACTATTCCTCATCATACATATATGTCAGACTAAAGTATCCTTTCCAGTTGCGATTCGTCATTTTCATATCTGCTTTCGATTCTCGACGTTGTGTGTCCCTTGGCCTTCTTTTTTTCCGTATCCCTTCAGGATTTCAAGTTAGCGTCTGCCTCGTGGTAAAGTTTCATGATTTCCGTAATGCATGTCCTATCTACCTCGAACGTGTTTCCCTAACTTCCTCTTCAGGTTGAAGCTGGCTTGTTCTCTCCTACAGTAGGCTGTTACTGATGGTATCCGGTCAACGGATATTGAGTATCTTGCGCAGACAACTGTTTATAAATACTTGCACCTTTTTGGTGATAGCCGTAGTAATCTACGTCTCATTTCCGTACAGTAAAACTGTCTTGACGTTCATATTGAAGATCCTGACTTTGATATTAGCTGACAGTTTTGAGTTCCATGTGTTCTTCAACTGTAGGAATGCGGCCCTTGGATTTACGTCTGCACCGGGTCCTCCTTGTTTATCGATGATTTCCAGGTACGTATACCTTTACTCCTCTTCTAAAGCTTCTCCATCAAGTGTGATTGTGTTCGCTGTGTAGTATCTGAAGATCTGGCCTTTTCCCTTGTGTATGTTGAGGACTACTGCTCCACAGGCTGTCTTCACTTACATTTGTTGTTGTGTATGTGATAGAAGTCCAAATCGTCTAGTTGCATCCAAGCTGTCCACTATATTTTGTGCTTCCCCTGATACACATATATAGTCAATTCCTAGCGGTATATAAGAATACATCTGAATTCAGCTGCATTGTTTACCTGTTGATTTCAGTTCAAGAGACATCTTCAACAACAGCCCAAGAAGTTGCTACATCGGATGCCCTGATTGCTGTTGGGACTGGTACTAATGCATCAGTTCGTTTATATGAGCTGGGTGCTCGTCAGAAAGGCTGTGTTGCTCAGTGTACGTTACCGAGTGCCAGTGGATCGGTCGAGGCATGTGCTTTTCCTGAAGATATACCGATACCATTTTCAAAAGAAATTCAATTCATCGATGTACCTAGAAGTTGTGTTTCTAGCTTTATGGACTATGGAATTTTTGCCGGTGGCCAGCAAGGAGAACTTGCCTCATGGGATATACGTCAAACAAAACAACCGTTATGGCAGTTAACTCGTAAGTTGATATTTGAGAAAGTCATTGATATCTTAATTATCAACCTTTTTGAAATTGAATTACGTCAAAAAAACCTGAGTAGAATAACAATAATTGCCAGTAATATTTAATCCTAAAATTTCATAATGCTGTGACATTGAATATTTATTTAATTCTTTGGAATAGATGAAAAAGGTGCTGTTCAACAAATACGTGTATGTAGGCGACCGAATTGTCAATATCTATTGCTTGTTGTTAGCCGAAATGACGGACGAACTCTTGTTTATCCGTATGATCCAGCAACAGCACATAGTAATGCACAAATCCCTACTAGTCTGGAGCTTACTGGAGTGAATTGTGAACCTATATGTGGTCTTTCAATGGTTTATAAACCGTCAGGAGAAATTGGTGTTTGGAATGCAGCTCGCGGTGGAACTGTTAATCATTACATCAAACTTTTAGATGAGATAACGTTTAAAAACTTATAAGCGATCACAGAGGTCAAATGCGTGGAAATCAGATTTTTGTTTTGTTAACACGGTAAATTTTATCCTTGCATTGAAAACCATGATATTATATTTATCATATGCGTACAAATTGTTCTAAAAGCAAACCAGTGATTTTAAAAAAATATCTTATTGTTATAAAATCACTCAAAAGGGATAAATTAACGACGATCAGTTTTCCCAGTCCCTCGTTTGCCTGAAAACAGATGTTTTGGTTTTAGTGTTGGAATATGACGATCTCCTTCTCCTTTCCGTGCTAATGTTACAACCTTACGTTGAGCAATTTTGGACATGCGTTTAACGGTATCATGCATTTTTTCATCACGTAAACCGGATCTAGATCGCGATACAGATGCACGTGCAATTGAAGCCTCACGGTGCAGATTTGGTGCTGAGTTCCGTGCTCTAGCAGCTCTCTTTAGTGAACGACCACGTTCGCCCTAAAAATTATAAAGAACAAATACCTAAGGTTATTTTGTCGACTAAACGTACGAAATGTGAAAAAGCTATTTAATATAAGCAACAGGTCCTCTATCTGTGAAAAATTCCGACCAGATTGTCGGGAAAGTATGTGATTTAAACAGCTAAAATCCCTTTAAAAGTTTATATAACTATACTTCTAAAAGTTGATTGAAAGAGAGAAATAAAGAAACGCTGGCTTACTTGCTCATGCATATCCACTTCTAAACCAAGCTCACCCAGCTCTTGATGTATTTTATGTACACTGACTGAACGGGCGCTTCGAGGTACTTGAGGTCTACGTACTTGCTTACGAGCTCGTGATTCCAAAACACGCAATGCTCGTGCCTCTCTTATCCTATAATAGAGACGATTACATGCACTTAAGCCTGATATAACACAACAAAGCTTACAAAGAAGATAATGCATTTCAGTCAAAAGGTTTACTATGGTTCATGGTGCAATCACACCAAACATGTAACACGAATAGGCTAACGCATAGACAGAAAGTAGGACAAAAAATCAGAATTAATCTCACTTTTAACCGTTGATGCATTTGAATAGTATACTTTTAAATTTCATGCTGCTGGGTTTAGTAGCTGATCATGAAGATATAACAGTTTGACAGGTCAACAATATCAATATACAGAAAAATCAAGCTTCGTCTCTTTCAAATCTAGAATTGAAGCAGCTGAAGTTACTAACGGTCATACATATAGATTCAATAGAATATGTAAAACGTCTTACTTCGCTGCGGTTTCTCTGATTTTTTTCATTTCTGGGTCATTTTCTTGCTTCAGTAGTTCAGATTCATCGTACAACCCAGCATTTTCGAAAGCAGCCTCTTGTTCTTCCAAAGCATTTAGTTTCTCCTCAATTTCAGGATCGAATAGGTCGATCAAGTTATGTCCATTCAAAATCTCAGGGATTATATCATTTGCCTCTTCAGGACATTTTATACGCCAATGCTCTCTTAAATTCAATATGAAGCCTTCATCAGGATCAGCTTCTGGTTCACGATCATGCACGGTTCGACAACGTTTCGATGAGTCTTCATCTTCGTCTTCAAGTTGCGAGCTAGGTTGGAGTGAATTAGCAATACGAAGACGTTTTAGCATACGTCTCCTTTGTTTATCTAGAACACCGTCGGGGATTATTGGTGGACGAGATGGTGCGTCTGTCTACATTAAAATAAATTTGTAAGAAAAGTGCATCGATCAGGGCGACTAGAAAAAAACATGTAATCGGCCGGTTAAAACTAGGACTGTGTGAAAAATATTAACATTTAAATAAGAGTTCTTGATATTTATTTTATTTGAACACATAAATATTGGTACAAGAGGGCACCAAATATATATGCGCCACACAAAACAATGAGAATGGGAAGAAAAAAAGAAGGAGCGTAAAAGAAAAAATAATAATAACGACCACAGATTAGTGTAAGGTAGTGTACAACTACAACAACAACAACAACTACTACTACTACTACTAATAATAATAATAATGATAATAATAATAATAATAATAATAATAATGGGGGGAACGGAAAGGTACAATCAGAAGGACTCTTTCAGTTAAGTAAGATACAACCACTTTTTACGAAGAAAGTAAAAGGTTACAGCAGGATCATCACTAGCTTCTATTCTGAGCCACATCTGATAAAGTCTCTAGCCACCGTGTCGCACCGTCACTCGGACTCCAGCCAAGGAGTCGTGAGGGACCAACAGAAACCAGCCCTTTGCAGCATTCTTTCATGCCACGACACCATGTCATAAACTGACCACCTCTCCTCTTCTTCCAATCAGTCCCAGCGTCGGCAAATAATGCACGACGTGGAATTCTCTTGGATTACATTCGTTGTAGATCCGACCTTTTACAGCCAGACTAACAACACGAAGGAGCCAAAGATGGCCCAGATTGGCTCTGGCTTTCACTATACGTGCATTGACATCACCATTCATGCCACCACCAGCACTTGTGCAGCTATCTAGATACACGAACTTCTATCTGCTCAACATCCAGGGTGAGTACAGGATTGAAATCCTGTCAGTCTTGTAGAAGTACTTTGCACTTCGAAGGTGCAAAGTACATACCGTATCTACGGACATTGATTGCTAACTGATTAAGTGCGGATTGCATGCCTTGGGCATTATCGTACAGTAAGGCAATATCATCCGCATACTCAAGATTGAGAAGTCATCGATGGCAAAGTTGAAGAGGAATGGTGAGATTGGGCAACCCTGTCTAACCTTACTGCTTGAGTAGAACAATGAAGAAAGGTGGTTGTATGCTCTCACTCTGCTTGAGGTGTTTGTATATAGGGCTTTAGGATGTTAATAAACTTCTCAAACAAACCCTTCTTCAATAGACAATCCCAGAGGACAGTCTTGTCCAACGAATCGAAGGGAGCCCTAATGTCAAGAAACACTACGATTGTTGGCCTTTGATAAGTATGGCGGTGTTCTGACATTTGGCGGAGGGCGAAGATATGATCAATACATTCTCGACCAGAATGAAAACCAGCCTGCTCCTCGCGAGTCAATCTTGCTCGAGTTTTGAACAACCTACGAAGTATGACGGAAGCTAATAGCTTGGATGCAGTCGGAAGTAGACTTATCCCCCGATAATTGTTATAGGAACGACATGAACCCTTTTTTAAGATAGGGACAACTATCGACTCAATCCATGACGTTGGTACGCTCTCTAGTTTTCAGATCTTTGTAAACAACGTTGTCAGTTCCTAGCCAGAAAGTCATCACCATCTCTAAAAAGAGCTGGAGGCAAGTCATCTGGGTCAGGTGATTTGAAGCGCTTCAAGAGTTGGAGTTCCTGCAGACTTCCGCCTCATTTGGTGGATCAGTCGTCACTGGCCATGGAGGGCAGGACAGTCTGACCGATGCTGACCGAACTGCTCTTCGAAAAATTCTGCCCATCGTCCAAGACGTCGATGGATGTTAGTGATTGGCATCCCGTTATCTTTGCAGATTGTTTCGCTAACACCAAACTTCTTGCTGCCAGTGGCTCGGATGAGTTGGAAGAGCTTCCGGTAGTTGCTAGATGCAGCTGCTGCTTCCAGCTCATTAGCACGCCCCGACTACCAGGCTTTTCGGTCCTTACGTAAGTTTTGCCCGATTTCATTACGTAACAGCCTTCGTTTGTGGTGATATGTTTGAAATGTTTGAGATTGATTAACTCAACTCATTTACCATGTACGGATTTGTGTACTTGGCTTTCAGTAAGTATGAAGGTTAGCGATACTGCCCGGTTGGTCAAAACCAAGTGGGATGTGGTTTGAAATTGTGACTGTGGTCGGAAGTTGAACACGCTAACGACTGAGCTACCGCGTGAGATTAGCACTGCCTAAGCTGTGACTTGCCGGAGTCTTAAAGGTCGTGAAACTTAGTGACTTCAGATGTTGTCGGATATGGCTCATTATCAAAATCTGTGACGATAGTGAGGCAGTTGAGTGAAGTCAATCTTGAGGTCTTATTTTGTCAAGGTGCATAAACTATGATACAACACGGTAAATAAGTCCAGGTTTGTATACGGATTTTTGAGATATACTTTTGTAAGAAGGCTAATGATTTTACTCGGACGTCAAAATCACACAAGATGGAATTGAGTCCCGACACATAGATGCGGTATATCCCGTGAACTGGGACAGTGATTTTTTGTCAAGTGACAAGTGTTAGATGTAGAAGCATATAAAACCACAAAAATAGCATGTAGTATAATCATTCACCTGCAAAAAAAGTATGACATTACCTTGTTTCCGTCTGGTTTCGGTTTAGCTATATACAGTCGATTAGAGATATCAACATTACTGCCTGGCAGAGCGGCAGCTCGAATTTTTGCTTGTACACGTTGAGCTAACAAGTCATCACATGCAACTGAACGAACAGTTACTAAACCAACTTCAGTGACAGTGGACATTTCTACAAAGATTGGTCGATCCGGATCTCTGATCTGTCTATCAGTATGCCACTGGACAATACTATTAATTGATTGTTTATCTTCCTCAGATAGTGCTTCAAATGGTTTGATATCAACCTGGAAAGGGTGAATTGGAAGTTATTTGAGTTCTTACGATTTTTTGATCTGTTTTTAACTTAATGAATGAAACTAATTAGTTATTAGCTTCATTTTAGAAAGATATTAATAAGCCACCATTACATGGAAAAGTGTTAAGATTATTTGGAATACAAAATTATCCATTTACTAGAAATTACGTGCTTTACTCGTAATGAAGATTGAGTTTGTGAGTGGTTCATTCAAATAAACATGATATAGAGAAACCCACCTTAAGCATCTTTTACTACAGTAAAACACTTATTTTTTATGCACTTAAATGTCATGTTCAATTTACGACTTTATTTGTATGACGAAGATCGGAAGATACTTATGTTGCCATATATAATTGAACTTTACTACTAATCACTGCTTTTTACCGAAATTCTGGGAATTTCCTCTAGAAATTGGTCGCTAATAAATATTTGGTTTATATTAATGCAGGTGTATAGAGATTATTAGTTTATGGTTTACATCACGTACTGACTTTAAGTACATAACTATTAAGAGCGAGCAGTGGAAAGCTGTTTAGTCCCAGTATGAGACAACAACCCATGTTAATTACTCTGCAAGGGAATAGGTATGAAACTTTAAATTTCTCCCGGAAAGCCCTTCCTTGTAAGTAGGAACACAAAAATAGATCGAGGAACATTTTTTTAATAAATGACTGCACAAACCTACATTATTGCGTTTGTACGAAAAGAAAGGTAAACAAATTAACGTGAAGTAGGACTGGAGCACTGAAACATGGATGGTGTTTTTCAGGAAGCGAAATCTGCGGTACCCTAACGTGGAAATCAATAAAATCAGTTGAAGTAGTGATTATGAATACTGCTAGATTGAAAAAAATATCGACAAGAACATCGAAGATGAGAGAGGTTTTAAATTCGGCAACATCACTTTTGAGATGAATAAAAACCAAGATATAAGTTCTGTGTTTTTGTTAGAAACAAATACCTCGTCAATTTAATACAGGGTCCAAGCAAAAGTTACTGTACCAAATGAGGGTATAGAACTGATCGATGAAGCAAGACAAAGTTAAGGAGTCAGAAATTCCAACCAGTTTATTTTATTGATCTAAAGTTCATCATGAGTATGATGGGGTATGTAAGTTAAATAATATTCTATGCAGTAACGTCAACACAATAGTAGGTAACGAATTCAAATTGAACACCAGTTGTAACATTAAATAAAAAAATTCGCGACCATCAAGGTTATAGTTGGTATCGATGGCAAGGTTCAGTGGAAGTGATAGCAATAGTGCATTGCAATGTTAGAAAATCACTATCCAAATGTTATTGTCTGGTATCTGTTGGAGTTGCTCGCTTTTTTTGTTTTTATTCAACGTTGTTATTGATATGTCGAAAGAAATACCTAGTATTTGTCTGATTGTCTGTGGATTCATTTTGTTATCGTGACGTTCACAATGAGCTGAAATGCCAGATGCTCCTTTAGATGTAGTTTTGTCTGGTGAAGACAGTGAGAAAGGACGAAATTGATTCGATGTATAACGGTATGTTTTAGAAGTGGCGACGAGGTAACCACTGTTTTGGTTAGGAAAAAACCTAATCAAATTTGATATAGCTTCGATGCAAAAGTTACTGTACTATAAATGAGTACAAAACTGATCGTCGAAGCAAAACATAGTTAGGTGGTTAACAAGATTGGAGATTTCTGTTGTCGAACTAGCTACCATCTATCTGGATTTTCACATCGCTTACTTCTCAGTCAATCAGGTCAAATCTACTTGGGTTACGCAAGTAACGTAGTTATGCGTACTGGAGACAGTGACACAGAACTAGACCCACTTACCGACATACACCATCTGTCGTTAGCAAAGCTTTTGTGGACACCGAAGGGCGAATATGCTGCACAATTGTTCGTTTTGTATCAAGTCAAAGGTGTGAAAAATCAAGATATAGTTGTAAACATTCAGCTAGTTTTTCGAAAGTTTGTTTGGACGCGGAGTTACTGCTAAGTAAAAAATACTGCTGTTAGGAGTACATTTATAGGTTACACTGATAAATTAGTTCATACGGTTTTAAAGCTTCATTAGTTAAGGTTGTTGGGGCATGTGTTATTTACGTTCAGTGACTACCCCTCTTTGTTGAGGATAAGTTAGGATAGCATAATACAACAGGTGACTATGATAGAAATTTCAAAGACTCTGCATAAACATAAGTAAACTTTGTTTTCCAGTCTTGAGTATAGCCAAAAAGAGTGCAGAGATAAAAAATGAGTGAGAAAAGTATGTACAAATAAAAAAGTAAATTTCCAGACCGAACCCAGTTATATTTATAACGGAGATTTCAAATAGAATAACCTGATCATACGTTTACAATTAAGTGATGAACGATAGCATTGTTTTTATGGTATATAGTTGAATGTTGTTGACAAGAAACTTCTGCTTATCACTTGTCCGCAATGGGCTCTTTTAGCATTAGACGGGATTTAGGTTGACTGACATGTCTACTTCTGTTGAGTACAACAAAAAATAAACAACAGGCGAGAAAATTATTTTGACCTTTCACATCAATATATTACGTGACTTATTTGGAAATTCAGTGACCTAAGTGCAAAGTTGTGATGAATATCATCTGAACCTCTTGAACTGCAGTTTAAGTAGTCTAACTTCGATCGTCACTGTTTCCATCCATCAAAGTTCTAAAAGTCAGCTGTAATTACTTGCAGTTTAAGAAACGTATAGGTTAGACTGACAGAACTTTTACGGAACTTCTTTGTGGTACTCACTAGCTTTCTAACGGAAATCGCTTTAAAAACATGAGTCTATCTGAATCTACACGAATAATTACTATGGGTTTATTATTAGTTTTATAGCAGTTCAGTAAACTGAAACCACTGTCATCTTATCCTAGGGATTGACACAAGTGAAGAATTCGAATTCATAGATAAGGATCGACAATCATTAGGATTAGGTTACAATTAATTAAGAAGTTGCAAATGTAACAATAGTGGATTCTGATGATATAATTATATAGAGTGATGTAACAACACATCAATTATTTGGAGGTTTCAAGCTTACTTTATTAGCGGCTATTACAAGAGGTTTGTTACGGAAAAGAGGTCTCAAGTTTTGGAATAGCGTTAATTGTTGTTGTATAGTATATCCACACTGTTCAGACAAATCCATGATATATATTACAGCAGCCTGTAGATGTGCAAGTGCTGTAATGGACAGCATTTCGATCGTGTTATGTTCGTCCAAGGGTCTATTTAATACACCAGGTGTATCAATTACTTGCCATCGTAAATTTTTATAATCCGTGTGTCCAACAAATAAAGATTTAGTTGTAAACGGAAACGGCTGAACATCTACATCAGCTCGAGTTATCTGAATGAAGAAATGAAGGTAAATGGATATCACATTTCGATGTATACACATGAATGAAAAAATAAGCTTTATTCATGAAAAAAACACCATTTCACTAGAATTTATTTGGTAAGTACGTCAATGTGAAGAAACGTCTAAATTTTTCAAACATGTAAAAGACTGGCTAAACTAGTGTCAAGTTGAATTTTGTTCTACTGTGTCAATTCTAATATGACTGGCGCAGCTGTTTAGCATTAAAGTGTACCATATGAAGAGAATACTTGAAAGTTCTTATACTATCCCAGTTTCAATTCCTCGTCTGGAGATTATTTCCCACACAAAAACTCCACTTTAGTTGTGTATGGTTACTAGAACGATAGTTTTACATGTAATCAAAAGCCATATACATGTAAATGAAGCTTAATCGCTAGCAGAGATAACCACTTATATTAAGCGCTGGAAGTCTGATCAGCCCAAATGGGTTGGTGTCTGACGAAATCTCAGCACGGATTCGAAAAGCTCGTCTGGCTTTTGTCAACTTACGTCAGCTATGGCGAAGGCGAGATATCCGTCTATCAAGTAAGGGACGAGTATACTGCGCGGCAGTCCGTTCAGTTTTAATTTACAGCAGCGAAACATGGCCATTAAGAGTAGAAGATACTCGTAAGCTACTAGTATTTGACCACAGATGCTCTAGAAATATCGCTGGCGTCTGCCGGGATCACCGGGTAAGTAATAGTGAGGTTAGACACAGGGTATTAAGGAAAGATGGTAAATCAGTTGGTGAGGTTGTGAATCTTCATTGAATGAGATGGTTGGGCCACGTGTTGCGTATGCCTGAACACCGATTACCAAGGCGTACAATGCTAACCGGTGTTCGAGATGGTTGGAAGAAAGTAAGGGGCGGCCAAACCGAAACGTGGTATCAGTGCTTGATGTCACTACTAGTCTGAATCATGTTGATAGATGCAGACTACTTGGTTGGGGTCCGTGTGACTATTGTAACCAATGGTTGGAGACTTGGTGACATGGCTCAGAATCGATCATAAGGGCGTCGGTGTATACACTCTCTGTCTTCCCTTAAACTAAGAGGTTAAAATCGCTTCATATCTTTCTACAAACTAAATCTTTCTTCTTGTACTATATCCTTATATGCAATCTTTCTTTTATATATTACCACCTCTGAATTAACTACTTTTATGAGTCCGGTGTCCATCTTGTTGTGTTAATGAGGTATGACAGCTTGGACCGATGCATATATGTGCCTGGTCCTACGTTGTAGCTGACTGACTGACTTATATTAAGGGCATCTGAAAAGTCACTATAAGTAAAAGGATTTAAATAGATAACACCTATAATCACTTTTGGTTTAGTAAGTAGTTCCGTCCCAGTAAATGGAATTTTTTGTGGAAATTATGAATAACATAACAGCATGATGAGCAGAGATGCCATTTTGGTGTCAATTGATTACATTAAATCTTATATATCATAATCAAAGTTTTGCAAAGCATCCAAAATTATGGATAAATACTGGTTGGTATCACACTAGTCCGGTCGTTTGTTGCTTTTCACCACACGAAATCTACACTCTTAATGTGGTGACGATGAATTTAGGGTGAAATACCTAAAAAGATAAGTCTTCATGGAATTGTAAATGTAATTATTTCTACGCAACTGGGAATGGCCGGTAACACCGATGGTTGGTTGAATTGACTGGGAATCAAGTTATTATCATTTGATTTTTGTCAGTGAGATATATAGACCCGGAATCATAATCATTTAGATAGATCAGTTCACTCAGGGAAACTTGACAAATTACAATTTACAAATGAATCTCTGGATTTATTGTAACTGATCAGTAAAATGTTCAGCATAAAAAATATTATTTAAAGCAATGTGACATCTACTTTTTTAAAACGATTTAGTGATTCCCCTAGCTTTTTCTCGTTCGTTTTTTTCTGAGAGTAGTTTGCTTGTCTGAAATCAATGTGGAAGTAGTTTACATGAGTTAGTGAAGCATAAAACATGGGAACGAGATCATAGTTACATAAATACACACGCGGCTCGAGAATACATAATAATACTGGCAAAAGAGGATACCAGACTTGCTAACTTACCTTATTTATAAAGCTCGACTTTCCAACATTCGGGAAACCACATAGAATGATAGTGCGAGTATCCGGATCAATGCTCGGTAACCTAGACATGTGTTGTCGTGTATCTTCCAAGAATTTCAAGTTGTCTGCTTGTCTCTTGATTACTGTACACATCCTAACATTTGGTTAATTGTAATTTATTTAACTTGCCTTCCTAGAGCAGCTCGTTTGAGTGTTTTACATTGATATAGGGATTCTGCATACTTTAATATCTTCACCTGGTCTCGACCGATGCTGAGAATAATACATGAAAGTAAAAGATATTACCCATCAATCAAATTCTTGGCAGTATTAAGCTGACTTAATGCAAGTTTGTAGTGATCTTTGGAATATAAAACGTTTATGAGATCTGCATAGAATGGATGTATATTCTAAACCTTATTTGGAAAAATTGCTTAGCTACCTCCACTTTAGGGAATTCTGTGAGAATTGTTTGAAGTTTATCATGGTAAAACTGCTGACACGTTTTGACTTTACGCATATAAAAATGTCTAATACGTCCGATTGCATATTGCGGATGAATAACAGTCGGAGTTTTCCTTTGAGTTTTCGACAAGACGATGTCAATAAAGTCTTTGGATGACGGTACTACCGTGATACTCTTGAAGTTGTAGCACGGCATGTCAGGTATTTGTTGGTGGTGGACGGAATGTGACCTTAACAACTGGCAGAAATAAACAAGATTCAGTTCTGAGCATCAGAGGAACGAAAAACATGTCAGTCAGCTTTTTTTAACGTTTGAACTGGGTGTGTTAACTAAGAGCCCTCGTTTTTTAATTTGATTGACAATAAATTCCGAAACGTGCTCTATGGAAAACACGTAGCAATCGTCTTAGTCTTCATTATTGAGGATAGGAGGTCTGTCAGCCCATAATTATCCTAACAATTTATAACACTGTGGGGGCCTAGTATCACTTCGAATGTATCAACAGGAGGTGATGATAATATGTGGTGTTGTAGATAATTCCAGTAATTCACTACTCAGTAAAATAAACGAAACTGTTTCAGTTTGGAAAGAACGGTAGGCTTGATGGCCTGTGTTAGTCCTGGCAATAATGGTCTCTCAGTTGATCCAACCTTCTTTTGAAAGAGTCGATGGATGGAGCCTCAGTCACGTGCTGAGGTAATGAATGCCTGAAGAGGAAGTTAGGCAAACACGTTCGAGGTGGATGGGACATGCAATACGGAAACCACCAAACTGCATCACAAGGCAAACTCTAGCTTGAAACCCTGAAAGGATACGGAAAAGAGGAAGGTCAGGGAACACAATACATTGAAAATCGAAAGCAGATGTGAAAGGGACGAATAGTAACTGGGAACAACTGGAAAGGATTACCCAGGACAGAATTCAGTGGAGGACGTTGTTGGGCGGTCTACGGTCCTCCACGAACTGTAACAGGGTTTAGTACGTAGGTTTTACACCAGATACCGTATTTTACAGATTAACTGTTTGGTTTCACTGATTTTCTCAATTATAAACTAAGACACCTCACCGGGTTGGTCGAATAAAAGATTCTAGATATACTGTTGGACAAGAATTCTTTCTAGACACGTTTTCCGTCATCTGGAATGTGCTATCAGCTGACTTGTATCAGAAATAGGCAAGAAGCCGTTTTATTCATGAGTTAAATAGACTTCTAGATGACTATAGAACACTACATGAGCTGGCAGTGAACTCAAACCAACGCTGCCAACGATACTTTTGGTTCACTGGATGTAAACAACAATCATACAAATCACCTAAATGTATCAACAGAAGGTGCTGATATTACGTGTCCTGATACAGAATCCCAGCACTTCGCTACTCGGTGCGAGAAACGAAATTCCAGACGTAAGTTATTTGATCTCGGTTTTTGAACTTTTTTCGTATGTCCTCTCAAATGAAAAGTCCTAGACGGAAGGAAAGGACAATTTCGTCGAATGATCATAATGGAAGAAAACAATCCTCAGATTGTCATATCAGTAAACGTCAAGTACATCATCATAATGCAAAACCCAAATTACGTTTCCAGAAAGTGACTCCAAAGTACTTATAACTTCGTATTTCCAATAGAAATTCTTGCATCCAGAAAGGCTGTTATAGCAGCCACCCGAAGACTAGTGTTAGGTAACACGAAAACATGCACAAAATTCTGCGTTTTGTAAACTTCATGACGCCTGCAGCACATGCTACCAACAGTCCATTTTTGTGAACCATCCATATGGCGCTCCATCTTCTACACTGTAAAGTTCAGTTTTAATCCAACAACTGTCTATTTGTGCACCAATATTTTGTTATCCCGACTTCTCATTAGAAGTTTCGTTATTACACGCCGAGGAAAATGGACAAACGCTTGACGTCATAAATGACGCAACATTTCTAACCATTTGATCATGTCTGTAAATTTGCATGCGTCATGTAACTTATAGTTGTTGAAAATAAATCGTTATCCCTATTTCAGGACGTCACATAATGAACCGTCTGTCGTAACCAGCCGATCGAATTATTCAGAGGCCTTCCCAAGGAATGGTAAATTACCATCATAGTTCATACGTCACTACCGAATTTCAGCTGGCGACCACGTCAGCAATGGAATCACGTCAAGAAAAAGATTGAAGCAGGCTCTTCCATTCTAGGTCCAACACTGTCTGGACACCAAATACTCGGACACCACAGGCTAGTACTTATTAACAGTCAAGAGTCACATATGTAGAGGCATTGGGCCCTAGCCACACACACTCAAAGGCGAACACGAAACAACTGGTAAAATAGGTATTCAACATTCAACATTACATAATAAACAATCTTCTATTTTTGGATTAGGTCTATTATTAGAGCGGTACTAATATAGAAGTAGACCATACTTCTGCGCGTATATAACTAAAGATTTAGGCGCTTAAACACACATATTGGTCGGGCGTAACAAAGTAAAAGCACCACTTGTCCCTTCATTCGAGGAGCCATCTGAAACTATCACAAAACTCTAAATGTTTCGTTGTACAAGATTACGGAGACGCAGAAACAATAGGTATATGTGGACCGCCATATGCGGTATTAGACCATTTACCGGGCGAAATAATTACAGACTTAACAAATAGCAACCAGAATCCCGCATATTTGACCAAAAGAGTTAGGCGGTACAACTGGTTGTCCAGCCAGGGGTATCTGAAGTTTTTGCTCAATCCTAAAATTTCATTACTTTTATTATTATTAATGGTTTTATTCACAATTATATTTTGGTACAACATAATGTTTTCAGCACAAGATATTTCAACGAGTTTCTTTCACAAAAAAACAAAAACAAAAAATAATGGAGAAAGGTTAAAAGAGAAGCCGAAAAACTGTACGATTTCCCAAATTAGAGGCATGTTTAAAAATACAGATTATTGACTAAGTTAACTCTAACAACCTGTTCGTCACAGAGCATATTTGCTAGGTAAGGTATTATAGAACTTTTATGCTTTTGCTTGCGTGCATGGATTTTAATGTAATTACGTCTCGTTCTACTAGAAGATATGCAAGGAGAAAGATAGGAGTGAAGGGGATGGTTAGTATCGACAAAATAACACCTGCTAAGAGTTTGCACGACTTTACATGTCTATCCACAACCATATTAATTATGACCTCGGAAGATTCACCATACATCTTTCTAACTGCCTTCAGCACTTTCCGCATTACAGCAAAGTCTTTTCTCAAAAGCCTGGGAAAGAATAATTGAGAACAGTAAAAAATAATAGGTAAAATGCAAGAATTGACAAATTGTAAGAATAAAATGGCGATTAACCCCGAAAGCATGAAGCCTATTTTTGTAGTAAGTCAGTTGAAAACTTTCTTCGGCAACAGTAAAACGTGAGAAGACCAAGAGAGATCAGAGGAAAAGTAACACCAAGATAACTGACCTTCAGCATTGTGTTTATCAAAGAGCCTCCAATGGCACAAGCATTATGAGATTCCGAAATGGTATTTAGATGCTGTTCATGTCTCATGCTAAGGTTAAGAGCTCGACATTTAGATGGATTAAGTCTGAGACCATTAACAACAGACCAACAATCAATACGAGACAAAAGCTCATCAATTTCTGTGGGATGTAAAGAGGAAAAGAGAGGTATACATACAGTGAGATCATCTGCATATTTCACAAAAGTGTTTTCTGTAGAAGATGACAGGTCATGCAGAAGAAAAAGAAGAGTTGAAAGAACAGCTTCTTGTGGTACACTTTCATGAGACAGTAGAGACTCGGAACACTTTCCTCCAAATACAGTACACTGTATTTGGAGAAGGGTAGGAACATAGCCAGTTTGTTACCCAGCTGTCAATGTTGACGCTGATTAACTTTCTAAGTAAACGTTGATTTGGTATAGAATCAAAGGCAGAAGTATATTCCAGAAAAGCATATCGAACTTACTTCCTACCCTTTTCCAAGTTCAACAATATATTTTGATGCAGAACAGCAACGGCATCTAAGGTGCTACTTTTTCATCTGTAAATAAACTGATAAGGATCAATGTACTCTTTTATCTCAGGCTGAAGTGGAAGTATTAATAATTTTTCCATTGTTTTGAGGAAGGGTGAAGTTATTGCAATAGGTCTAAATTTCACATTCTTATCACCAAGTACTTTATTGGGTACAGGGATTAGCTTCATCTTGCTCCACATTTCCGGTATGAGATTAGATGAGAAGGATCTGTTAAAGATAGTCGTGAATGGATAACATAGGACGTCCGCACATTTCCTAAAAAGAAGTTTTGGGATACCATCAGGTCCCAAACATCGTGATGAATTAAGCGACTGGAGACATCTTCGTGCATCAGTCTCAGTGAAAGTAGGAACACAGCTATTCTTTAAACCTGTGGATAAAGGGAGCATCACATCAGATTACTGACGTGCAAAATACTTACTGAAGTCACAAACATTCAGCTGGCTATCGCTCCTAAATTGTCTGTCACCTGTAAGTCCTTTAAAGAGTTTCCACATACTTGGAGAGTTTTTACAAGACAAGAGATTTCGAGTAAACATAGAGTTGAGACGTCTAATCTTTAGGTTTAGCTTACGAACTTCATTTGAGTTTTTCTCCTTGTACATTCTTTCTTTCAACCTCCGTAGTCGTTTAAGTTGTGAAGATTTAAGTCGTACGAAGGGACGAAAAGAGTACCAGAATAGTAATAACCTTAGATACCATTCTACCTATCTCTGCTCATATCCTTTACTTTTGGAGTATGAGTGTCCTATTAAACGAACTGCAATATTTGTTTCACACCAAAAATGTCTGCGGTTCAAATCTACTTTTAAAGGGTACCATAAAGATATTAAAGCCTATTCGAGAAACCAAAATCATTCTAAGAAAGACCTGTGGTTTAATGGATCCACAAATCCAAGTGATTGGATTTAAGCCGGTTTCAGCAGCTCCATAATCTCGAAAGTTTCATACATGTGACCATAAAATAAGACAAAATCTGTTAGTTGAAACATTTCCCAAGAATGGGTAGAAAACTTTCACTGCATTTGCCTAGATACAACAAGGGGAAAAGGTTTGGGCGTTTTAAACGCTCATCATAAGGGAGTCCAGGAAGACCCTTCACTAATTTCGTTCCTACACACTGGACACGCTCAAGGGAGTTAATATCATTTACCAGGCACGGGCTAGCTGCTTGGATACAGTACTCTAAATGTGGTCTTACATATATGGGATATAAAATTCGAAACGTTTCCTCGTCAAAAGATTTGAACGCTCGGCGACGTGACCATAACGCACGAAAACCTTTGACAGCGGCTGCTTTGCAATGAGTAGTTGTTTTTAAATCATGACTTATTACTACTTCTAAGTCTTTATGTTCTTGAGCACATGGAAGAGGTTTACCCTCAATAGTATAACGTTAACTATTATTGTGACCGATGTGCATTAGCACACACCTCCTAGCATTGATTTCTAAGCCCCACTCTCCAGCCCATCTAAATAAATCGTCTAAGTCAGCTTGAAGATCCAGATGATCAGCCGCACTTTTTATTGTTCTTCAGATTTTTACATCATCCGCAAACAATAACGTCGACGACCTAAGCAACAGCGGTAACTCATTAACGTAGAGAAGGAAGGGCAGATAGCCTAAGATGGTGCCTTGGGGTACACCACTTTTGACCGGCTTCCAATCGGATAGAGTTCCATTGACCCTCACTCTCTGTCTGCGGTCACATAAGAAGTTTCCTATCCACTCCTGTACAGTACCTATTATTTCGAAGCTCGTGAGTTTCTGCATAAGACCTACGTGTGAAACCTTGTCAAATGCTTTGCTAAAATCTATGAATATCACATCGACAGACAGACCGTTATCTAGGGCTGCTGTCCAATCTTCTCTCGCAATAAGTAAGTCAGTCAAACATGAACGTTTGTTACGAAATCCATGTTGTTCAGGAGCTAACAGATTGTGTAAATCTATGTGGCTTAGGAACCTAACCCGAATTATCTTTTCGAGTAACTTAACGACTATGCTAGTTAGACTGACAGGCCGGTAGTTAAATACTATCTGTCTCTGACCGTCCTTGAATATACGATTGACTATAGCGTCCTTCCAATCTCTAGGGAGTTGAGCGAGTGAAAGGGACATGTTGAAGAGTGTCGTGAGCGGTTTTGAAATAATGTCCGCAAGAGATGACAGCAACCGTGGATGCAACCCGTCAGGGCTCGGCATCTTACCACGTTTGAGGTTAGTTATCAACGGAAGGACAGTTTCCTCAGTCACCTGTAAGGATTCAATGGTCAGTATTTCGGTGTGAGTGGGACAAGTATTTGTTGCAATAAACGTAGAGTAGACTTCGCTAAAATAGTTTGAAAAAGTCACAGCTTTTGCTCGATCTGATTCAGCTAGTAAATCTGAATTTTCGTGCAACAGTAACGGGGGTGTATCATCACTACGTTTCATTCGCCGTTTAACATACGAAAACAATCGTTTCGGACAAGTACGGCTATCATATACTAACTGTCGTTCGTAAGTGGTACGGGATTTGGCTATGGTTTTCTTACAGATATTACGGAATTTTCGGTACTCACGCTTAAATGGCGCATGACCTGTCAACAAGAATAAGTCCCAGAAATGTTTCCTACGCTTTAACAGCTTCTGGGTTTCCTTATTAATCCATGGAGGGCAATGTGATAGCTTACGTGTTGGCCATGGGATAAACGGCGACGTTACGGACTCAAATGTAGCCATAAACTTATTCCATTCATCTTCGATCAATCCATCCGCGTCGACCGATCAATCGGTCGAGATAGCACAGTTTCTGATTGCCGGAATATTGACTCGCCAGATATTGGGACGGGGTGGAGCAGATACGAATTGTATACCATGTGTCCTAAACTTAGAGTGAATTGCAACGTGATCACTGTTCACTAGTGAGGGAAGGTGCTGAATATCAAAGACATCCTCACGGTGGTGGGTGAGGGCGAGGCCCAGCAGTGACGGATCATGATGCAAATCAATATGTGTCGGTTTCGTGATACATTGTACAAATGCACACTGAATAACGGTAGATAAAAAGTCGCTATCGAAACCACTACCTGGAACTGTAAGCTCTATCCAGCTAATATGAGGTGCGTTGAAGTCCCCAATGATGAGACAACATTCTGCCATACTCCAAGAACAGATGTGTCTTAGGATAAAGTCGTCAGCAAGATAAAACGGACTACGGTATATTCCCCCTATAGTCATTAACCCATTTCTAGATTTAATCTTACAACATGCAACCTCACATGTGCCACTGATATGAGCCTCTGATATGGTTGATTGTATACGAAAGTGATCCCTAACGTATAATATTATACCTCCCTCTTTGAGACTTGAAACTCTATCACTTCTAATAAAGATATAGCCTGCAATGATGGGAGAACAGTCTATATCTACTGTGAACCAAGTTTCTGTAACAACGATTATATCAGGACATAATACTTCCACCATCAGACTTAGCTCGGACGCTTTATTTCTAAGACTACGAGCGTTCGTGTAGCACACACTTAAGGTGTTTTGGCAATCCATCGTTCTACCGATACAGGCTTCGGGAGCATTGGCTTCCAAGACCTGACTACCCGAAAACCCTTAACGGTAAGCTTATTTTCGCCATTTAACTTGCGAGGTCTTAATTCAGTAAGAGCATTCTTCCACTTGATTTGATCCTCAAGCGGCCAATCTGGTCGAATACGGATATTTGAGTCACGAGTTTTTTTGGTGTGTTTTTCAATAGTATGTCTCTTTCTTCGAAACTCCCGAGAACCAGCTCCAGGATTCTTCTTGGTTGGGTCTCGCCTCCAACCCATTTACCAAGCAATATCGTCAAGAAATCAAGTCCCTTCATATCGGTGAATAACCTAAAAATAGCGCTTTTAAATGACATGGAAATTTTAGCTTGTACCTTATATTTCTCAGTTCGCTGAATATGCGGTGAATTTGTCTTCGTTTAGTTGTATCGCGTACATCATCGTGTAACCTTGAGTCGGTTTTGCATGACGCGATTTTCCAAATAGCTTCATTTGTTTATGATGTCAAATGAGGTAAATTCACTCTGTTTTTACAGATCAGTTACTTTAAATTTCAACTTTTTGAAAACAGAACAATGCACTGCTCTCTAATATTTGTACCTTCAAGGTGTTTTTAGTGAATACAGAATTACATGAACCTTTTTTGAACATATACGTCGTATTTAGCATATTAATTCGTATATGTGCTGATGCAAAATCCATCATCTAGCTAAGAGTATAATGTTTGATGCTCAAGTACGAGTACGCATTTTCAGTGCTTTATGGTTTCAAATAGATCAATATCAATATTTTTGTAATTATCGTTCTCTGAATTATGAAAGAGTTTATTGAGCCGATAGTAAATTCCTGATTTATAGTTTCATTATTATTTCGCTCAGCCTACATTGACCACATTTATAGTAGTCAACAATCTCAAAACTTCATGTTATTGATCCCAACATTAAGAACGTTTTTATTGTGTAATACGCACAATTTTAAATTCAGATGTTACTTTGACTCAAACCTGGCTTGTTATAAGATTAATTATGTGGATATACAGTTGAAGAACCTAAAGAGAATTTACAAAATCGAATATTTTTCTTACATATATTTGTTTTATAATATAATCGAAAATTTTCAGTGGTTAACATATTGAATTTTTTCTGGGGTTTTTTTGTTAAGGAAAGCCATTTTGGTTTTTTTAGTGACCTAACCGGAAATCATTATTTAGATGGGTTCTCATACCTATACTTTTATGCATATATATTTGTTAACCGGTTTTAAGTCTAATTAATGGTATAACAGTTTTGGCTTTTATTTTTCCGGGGCTGGCCAATTTATTGCTCAACATATAGATAGGAAATTATTGAAAATTATAGACCTGCATGGAAATGCGTGTTTATCCATCGAAATTTATCACATGACTGTTCACGAGTTCTTTAGTTAAAATGTTCCCTTTAATTAGGAATTAAAGTCAAGATATTATGCTAGAATATTACTTTCCAATGCGCTTGTATTGATATGTAGTATAATCTTGCAAACAAAATTCTTTCTTTGTTGCACATTGACCATTTACTATCCAAGCAGTCATAAAACAAAATCAGAGAAAGTCAGTTTGATTCTTAATACTACCTAAAAAGTATTACTCGTTATACTACTTCCATGATGTAATGTATTGTTCACAAATATCACTTTCACGTGGTTTGTTTTATATTGAGGTTGATTGAAAGATTTATGCTTGTGCGTAATTGAAAAAGTGACTGTATAAAATTCATGGGCTTTATTTATAATTATATACTTCTACAGAAAGATTAGTCATGAGAACTTCCCTAATAGTTATCAATTTGAGTTTGTAAATGTTTAACACCTATGAAGCAATGCTACGTCTATCCTATTAGGAGCTTGTGTAGTGTTCAAAATAAACATAGACTCTAAAATGTTGCAGTGTTTGTCTGTACCCGAGTATATGGTCCAACTTATTTAAACAATTTGTGAGGACGAGGTTCTTGTTGGTTTTTGTAAATATTTTCAGGAATACTTTTAGAATTTTTACTAATTCTGCTCTAAAAAGCGGTTTGATGTGGTTTTGGAATGTCGGTTGCAACTAAAACTTACGACCGTATGTAGTTGCTTTAGTGGAAAATTATAAATTAGTCTACTACTGGTAGATCTGTTTGAATGATATTTAATATATCTTTTAAATTAAACCTATCTGCCTTAATTATCGGGATAAATACAGGATATATCTTAACGGTAATCAACTGGTAGAGGGATTATATAACATGGAGAAAATCTGATGAAATGTTCTGTTTTCTCAGTCTCCACTAAGGCTCGATCATTTATGTCACTGAAAACAAAAGTTTTACCGTTTCCCTATATGGATCCAGTGATGCAACAAACCAGATTACAATCAACATTATGGCTGTTTAGAATAAATTAGGACACATACTTTACAGCACAGATTATGGGTTCGGATTTTACGTGAGTCAATTGACACTGTTTAAAAGATTGTTAATTTTTAGTGACATGTTATAGTTCGTATGACTTACTTTTATTGAAGATCCGTTATAACGTAAATGACATTAGTTTGTACGATACTGCAAGTTTCTTGTCCATTATGTATAATCGTTTTGCAGTCAAATACCATTCGTTTGTTACTATATTGCAAAATTTTACGTTCATGTGTGCGTAACTTGTTACTTATAACATTTTTTTCTTATAATCTTAATGTGCTTTAATGAGATATGGATGAAATTCTCTCTATTATACAGAAATATATAAATGTTTATTTAATATTGCATGACATTTTTAGCACTTATAAACATATGTACTCATTTTTGTATGTTACTGCCGTTTCAAGCTATTTGTGTATCGTATTTTCGGTTTAATTCATTAATCATGCTAATAGTGTGCATAGAATGTAATCATGTCGTGAAGTATTTTGTTTCTCTGTTTTGATAGGGTTTACCGTTGTATTAAAATGATGAGAAAGATGTTAAGGATTATTTTCTACGAGTTAAGTATTTAACGTGTAAACGCTTCGAAAGTCTGGAAATAGTATGAAAGTTCCTAAAACTTGAGTTGTAAATCTATATTATTTTCTCATAAACCGCAAAATATCCAGTGTTACTAAAGCTTTACATTTCCATCTGAAATTTGTGTATAAGTGGTCAGACCTTAAAGTTAATCACACTTTGATAGTACTTAATAAGAGCTATCAGTAAAATTAACGAAAGTGCTTGTTATATAGTTCCAACTAAGATCCGGAGATAAATGTATGCCTTGAAACACTAAGGTATTATGTCTTGTGTCTTATGAACTTAAATCACAGCATCTCAGACAAAAATAGTTGGCTTTTTTCCGTATATCAAAACAAAACTGAGTATAAAAATAATTTTTGTTACGAAACGTTTAATACAGTGACTTTAAGTTCTTATATTGACTAGAAAATCAATGACTACTTTGTTGGAAATCAGTCTAGTTTCATACAGTTCACTGGACTTGTTCACATATAATAAAAGCTTATCGTGTATTTTGCAAGTGTCTAATGATACATTTAAATGTGTTTTTATTTTTATACGAAATCCATTTTTGTGTATTAAAAAACCTCAAAGGTTTATACCTGCCGAAGATCATGTTGTAGTACTAAAAAAACTGCGGACTAAGATTCTATAACATGGGTTGATTTATGTTATAGTATCACTATCATTTAATGACACTATTCAATAACTATGTAGCTGAAACTTGGAGAACTACTACAACCGTCATCAAGAAGGTAAAATTATTTATAAACAATTGTCTATGTAAGATACTCATTATCGGTTGGCCATACACACGGTCAACAACAGCATTCTGTGGGGGAGAACAAACCAGCTTCCAGCTGAGGAAGAAAATTAAGAAAAGATGATGGAAATGTATATAACATACATTACGGAAATCACCAGACTGCATCGCTAGGCAAGCTCTAACTTGGAATCCTGAAGGAACCGGAAAAGTGGAAGGCCAAAATACAAGTTACATTGAAAAATGGAATCAGATATGAAAAGAATGAATACCAACTGGAAAGAACTGAAAAAGATTGCCCAGGACAGGGTTTGATGGAGAGTGCTGGTTAGCGGCCTATGCTCCTCCATGAGGAGTAACAGGCACAATTAAAGTAGAAAGCATTCAATAACTATGTTTGTTAACAGTTTAAGTAAATTCATATATCATATCTTCTCCCTAGACTAGTCAAGATATGATGATTAGGAGTATTTGTATTGTAGTATGAACTAAGAATCCCAAAAACAACGCGATTGGATCAAGAAGCACTGGATAGACACGAACGAATGTACTGTATTTAGAATTCGAAATCAAGCATTAAACAAGTAGAAAGGTATCATTAGTTCATTCAAACACAATAGAAGATCATTATGAACTAGCAAATTGGAAACATATATTCAGTTATATTTCAAGATTTTTAGAATAATCATTGATTTACAAAAGTTTCAAGAAATATTTTAAATCTAATAATGGTTACTCATCTTATCAGTAGGTCATAGCAAAATCTGTATAATATCAGCTGTCATTGATGATATGCTTTAACTATTTCTCTTGATTGAAATATACGTTTATGTATATGAATGAATTGTTATATTTGCTTATTAAAAGTTGTGGTGATCTTTCAAAGATTATCTCATTAAATTTGTTGATATATACATATATAAATAACTAAGCAGCAAAACTTTGCTTTAATAATGTTCTATACTTTATAATATGAATAATTACGGTCATGTGTATAGATATATCAATCTCATTAGTCCCTATAAGAAAGTATATAGATTAAACTTTCGGCTTTTTAGTACACATTTCTGGATTACATTTTAACTTAGTTACTGTCTTCATTTGAAAAGCTCTGCACTAAATAGTTTTATGGTTGATTTATTTCAAAGCAGCCATGTTACAATTTCCTTTTTCTTGTTTATCTAGATTGAAATCAACCTGATAGTTGGCAGGCTAATGAATTTTAATGCTTAAACACTGAGTTTTAGAAAATACCATTAAAGTTAGATTGCATGACCGAAACAATTAGTTTTTCTAATCAAAAACTTTAGTAAACATCATATTTTAGATCATATAAAACATTTAGTAAACCTTATAAAGCAAAAAATATTCTGAGCAAAGATGAATGGTGGCTAGCAGTGTAATCCAGGACGCACTCCACTTCGTCCTATTTGAGACTCGTCAGCTGGATGTACCTGCATCTCACGGTTGATCTTCACTCTGGGACTCAAACCCAGTACCGTTCGCTTCAAACGCTATTGTGTTCTCCACTTAGCTATTAAGTCCTGATAGCCACCTGCTTTTACAATGGGGTGAAGTTATATTCACTTGGTGTTGGTACTGCGTTCGAGTCCCAGAGTGGACATCAACTGTGAGATGCAGGTACATCCAGCTGACGACTCCCAAATTGGACGAAGTGGCGCGCATCCTGGATTCCAATGTTAGCCACTATCAATCTTTGCTTATAAAGCTTGTGACTTCAGGCAATATCT